TTTATGCTGTCACCTGGAGGGCAGGTGTGAGTGGGTGTTAGGGAAGGAATTTTCCATACAGGTGGCCTAGTGAATAAGAGGCACACGTGTCCCACCTTAGATTGTCTCAGAATCGCTGTCCCTACTGGAGAAGCCCTAACTCTGCCTCCACCCAAGTGGGTGAGCGTCACTGAGGAAAGAGGCAATGCCTAGCCCAGTTGGGCTTCTTTAATGACTTTTACCTTCCCCACCACATTCTGGATCATTTGCTTTTATGCATCCCGCATTTCTTCATCTTTGTTTTTCACAAGGATGTCCACTGTTAATGCCTCTGTCTAAGCTAAGCTCCTCCAGTTTGATGAGTTAGTGGACCGTGTCAAGTCTCTAACATTAGCCCCCATCCTACCGCTCTGTGCTCCCTTCCTGTAGGTGGCCTTTGAGTGTCCCTTCTGCTTGCCTTGCTTTGAGTGCTGGGCTAGATGTTAATGGGTATATGTTTCTGAAAGGCCTAAATGTAACCAACGTATACTTTGTAGCACTCACACTTGGCTGCCTGAGTTGTCCTCCCTAAATGGGCATAGTTGAGATCCCTTCCTTATGCAGAAGGCGATTCTTTGGCCATTTCTTTTAGGCAGGTACTGGACAAATTCATTATGCTCTAAGTTGTGAGGAGATCGAGTCTTTATTTGCATTCATGCCCAAGCACAAATTCTCTGGAAAAATATATTAGAACAGCCACTCATCAAAGATCAACAGTGCTGAATTTAGAAGACCCATACAAGTGGGGTTTGCAAATGCTGATTCTGTTTCTATAAGTGAGACCCAGCCCTCCTGTTAGTCATTTTTCTTTTTCCGCTCCCCAAACCACACCCTTTAAAAGCACTAAGGAATTTGATGTACTAAAGCATCTTTTAGAATTTATGTGGTAATGAGAGAAGAAAAGATCCCTATAGCACACACACACATACACACACACACACACACAAAAAAAAAAAAAACCCAACAACAAGAAACAAAGATAAAACAATTCTGGCATGGGTTTCTCATGTGATGGTTTAGCGAAGTGAGTCTGCTGGATAGATGTGCCACACATGCTGTAGAATATTCATCTTGTCGCTCTATGATATCCGTCTTTGTGTTTGGCATGACCGAGCCTTGGAGGTTATCATGAATGCCAGTTGTGTGAAATGAGCACAACTGACAGGATTTAAAGGCTAAATCTAACCTTTCTAATCCATCTATTCCCCATCCTGTGCCTTAGGCCATGCCTCTTCTGCTAGAATATACTACATCCTTGCTCCTGAGATGGGAGCTACAATAATTTCCTGAATGTCAATCAAAGCGTCCCTCCATGAGGAGTTGGAGAAATTCAACTTTCTCTTGCTGACTAGTGGAAAGGAGCTATAAATAATTTTCAGAATCAGTTGAGTGTTTGGTGTTTTTGTTACATGTGCTTAACATTTTCACTCCTTTACTAACTCAGAAATATAATTTATAGCCTTCTCCTCTTATGTTAGGTTATATTTTCTCTTACTATTCTAAATATAAAATATACCTAAATCAATTCATCAATAATTTATTATAAAATAATGTTGAATGACAGCTATGTGCTGGTTATCTTCTAAGTGCTAGCGAATGAGGAAGTTAGGAAATGGGTACAGGTGGTCAGTTAGGAACAGGGCGCCCCAAGCACAGGTGTCCTAAGATCATTTTTCAGTCTAAATAAGGGAGAATCAGTAGGAGCCAGGAGGGTGTCCCCTAAACCCAGGTGTCCCAACTCTATTTGTTAAACTGATCGAGCACAGTTGATTAGAACCAGGAGGGTGCCCCTTATACCCAGGAGCTGTTAGTTTATATATCAAACTGATTGAGAAACAGTAGGTTGGAGTCAGGATGCCCCCAACCCAATTAAAAATGGAATGTTCGGAATGTTCAGAATATGAACACAGTAACAGACCAAAGCTTGGTCTGCGAGGACAAGCCAGGTAACATAGGACTCATTGGGCTTCAGTAACCTAGGAGACCCTACAGGCCACAACCAATCAGGATTGAGTCACTGAGCTTCAGCAAGAACAGTGAAATTCAAGTTATCTGCAAACTCTTCCCCATTTGATAGTTCTTTAGGACATTTAAAAACTACACCGGGAAGCCACTGAGATAAGATTAAAATATAATGTTTCCCGGGTCATATTTAAAATCAAATTGCTTTACCTACCTTTTCTATAGCTTAGTTATAAAATCAAACAGATGTGTAACTTTATTTGTTGGAGGTAACATTGATTTACAACACTGCATATAATTCAGAGGCAAAGGTTCACAGCTTTTAGATGTAAGTTACCACACCACATTCACCACCAAGGTCCTCCACTGGAGTCGATTGGGCCCCTCCCTCCTCTGTTCTCCATCTCTCTCCCCACCCTCTGGTATTGTCAATTTTATAGTCAGATTTCTATGGTTTGCTTTTGGTTTATTTTTGTCTGATCCTTTGTTTTGTTTCTCTATATTCCACATATGAGTGACACCATCTGATAGTTGTCTTTCTCCTTCTGACTTATTTTTCTTAGCATTATCCCCTACAGTTCCTTGCATATTATTACAAGTTCCAATCAGCAAAAGACACACAAGACACCAATAGCCAAACCCCCATTTCTTGCCCTCTACACCTATATAAGCCCCTACTCCTTGCCACCTCAGTGACTACCCACTAGGGACCCTCTCTGTTCAGAGAGCTGTCCTGTGCTTCCTCTTATCTATCAATAAATTTCTTGCTTTGCTTTCTCTCATCTCGACATTGGATTCTTTCCTCAAGTTCTTTCCCTCGCTGAGATAAGCACCAAGAGAGCCCCCAGGGGTTCAATTTGAACTGTTCACTGGATATCCACATGGCAATAATGAACAGGCAGTTGAATACAAGTGACAGGAGTTTAAGGTGAGATTGGGACTGGAGAAACATATTCAAGTATCATTAGTGTAGATAATTTTAAAGACACCGTATTACATGACAGCCTCCATGCAGTGAGAGGGAAGAGAGGATAAAAGAGGTCTGAGGACTGAATTCCAGATATTTCCAAACTTTGAGGTTGGGAAGAACGTGGCAAAGAGGAGTGGCTACTAAAATAGAAAAAACTAAGAGACCAATGTTGTCCCAGAAGCGAGGGAAGAAATTGTCTGAGGAAGAGCCATCAATTTTGCTATCTGCTTCAGCTCAAGTAAGAGTAAGTATTGAGAAATGACCATTGGATTTGACCCTGGGATTTGGAAATCACTGGTGACCTTAACAAGAACACTTTTGGAGGAACAATGAATGGGAACAAAACTGGGCTTGTTCTTGTATGCATAAATAAATAAACCTTTAAAAAAAAAACTGGACAAGTGTGGGTTCAAGAGGGAACAGAGAGACGAAACGGCAGCATTGTGTATGGACAACTTTCCTGAGGAACTCTGTTGTGAAAGGGAGCATGAGAGAGCTGTAAGATCAAGGGAGGAGTCGTTATTACTTAAGATAGAGATAAAAGGGTATATGTGTATGCTGATGGGAATTTTCCAACCTCTAGAGAACATGATAATGATATAAGAAGAGAGGGACTACTGCAAGCAGAAGTGGGTTGGGATCTGGTATACCGGTGGTGTGCTAAAGCAAACAAAATGTGCTGATACAGATATGGGGAGGTGAACTGGTAGGTTTGGTAGGGGGAGCCTTGGGAAGAGTAAGGGAAAAGGAAGGTGGAGACTTGAGGAGAAAGGAGGTGTGAGCAGCATTGGAGTAGAAGAGTGAATTGACCATATCAGTGTTTTTCACGCTTCCCTGTGCTTCAGAACCACCATGGGGGCTTATTTAAACACCCATTGCTGGTTTCACCCTGAAAGTTTCTGATGTAGTTAGGTCTGGGGAGATACCCAAGAATCTGCAATTTTCACAAGTCCCCAGGGGATGCTGGCGTTTTGGTCCAGAGACGAGACTGTGGGAACTCTGGTCTGAGGAAGTGTGTTAGGATGGTAGCGGCAGCTTTAAGGGCCTTTTTGTGCCTTGTAGTTGTGCATGTAAAGTGAACTTCATTAGCACAGTTGTGTTTTTCTGTAGTCCTCTTCAGCAGCTCAAGAACTGGCAATAGAAAGCACAAAGTTGAACTGAGCCAGAAAAATATTGGTATCACCAGTATATTTGAGAAGCTGAAAATATTCTTTCTCCATCTTTTATTTGAAATAGAAAAGAGTATAGAATCTGAAATTAGGAGGAGAAAAATGAGTTTGTGGTTGAAATTCACTGTTATAGGACTTAGAAGTAAAATGGAGGAATATTCATCTCGGGCCTCATTTTGCAAGGGAAACACATGCTCCTTTTCCCTAAAGTGCCTGTTAACCACACCGTTTCTGTGATTTACTGAAGAACAAAATATTGAAAAACCAAAATTCGGTTATTTTGTATTTTATAAGATTACATCGATTACAAGCTGAATTTTATACTTATATTGTTCCTTCGGAATGTTCACATCCTCCTACAAAAATGAGTGTGACTAAGAGTCCTACATGCAGGGCATGAGCATTGGAAATGAAAACTCACCTGCGAGAGTAAGGACCACAGCTCACTAATCATAATAGAATAAAGAACTGACATTCATAATAAGGAACCACATAAGGCCTCCCTGGCGCAGGCACTTGAGCGCTGCACTGTGAAGCTGTCCTCAGTCTCTGCAATGCAGGTTCGATGCCGGCTGGCAAGAATCCCACATGGCGAAGCAGACCTCTCCTGTCTCACCCTCTGCTCCCCTCAGCAGTGTATTCCTTCAGTCAGCCTGTTCTGTCCCCCGCTTTGTCTCCAGTGAATCCTCTCACCCTCCCGCACATCTGGCCTGTAACCTAGTTCTTGTATAAAAATAAATAAATCTCTTTTTTTTTTTAAAGGAACCACATAAATGCAGACATAGTATATTAAGTATGAGTATAAAAATAGTATATATATTAAGCAAGCATTATATGCATTTGTAAAGTAACTGATAGTTTTCTTTTTATTAAAAAAACAGATTTTGTTGGAGCCAGGCGTGATCCAGGATGTGTTAGCAGCTGGCAGTCACCTACAGTTGTTGGAACTTCTCAATTTATGTTCCCACTATCTCATCCAGGTATGTGAGCTTTGCCCCACGGATGCATTCTTCCTATTCCCTTTCCCTGCTGTCATAAGCTGTACCCCACCAGCAGCAGGTAAAACTAGTGCTTCCCAGGATGTGGCTCATGGTGACTGATTTTCTCCAGCACACGAGCTGAGAGGCTTCTGCATTTCTCAACTCCTATCACAGAACTCTGAGCCTTTCCTTCACCCTCTCTGTCTACCCCCTGTTCCCACTACCTTCAGGCAGCAGAGTGACTCAGCAACCTTGCACAGGGGTCACTGCAGCTGCCCAGGGAGATGATGTAGAAAGGATCCTGATTTGAAGCAAAAGTGTTTGATTGCAAAATCACCACCAACATGAAAAGTGGGACAGTCTTTTCAGATTTCAGTAACAATAACTTGTGTATCACGAAGTCATGTGTAATAATTTCCATGTGAACTTTCCAGGCAATGAATTCTGAAAAAATTGTAAGTGATCTATGCTTTTCTCCAATTTGCTGAGGTGGTAAGCAAAGGCTTTGAGATGGAGAGTGAGAGGAGACTGCTACCCACTGACCACCTCCTGTACATTCCTCCAATCCTCTAACAACTTTGCATATTTTCATAGGTGAAAAATCAGATTTGAAATGTACCGGGCTTGCCCGAGGTTATAAAGCTAGTGAGTGGGTCAACATTTCCAATTCCAAAGACCACTATTTCTTGTTGGATGAAACACCTTTGGTTAGACAGTAAGAGGTAGAACATCTCAGGCAGACAGCTGAGTCTCTTTTATATTTTACAGAGTTAAGTACTAATCTCCTCTATTGGAATTCTCTCATTTTCTCCACTGGTAAGAAGTTTACTTGCATTTCTTACATTATAATAGTGAAAATGAATTTTTTAAGTGATAAAGCCACACAATTTAATTCTACTATCATTGAATTGACATATGACACTATGTCATATGACACTAGTAAGTAGAAATATCCCGTTTGTTTTCACCCAATTACTTTCTTTTCCTCCTAATCATTTTCTCTAATTCTAAATATGGCCTTTGTCCTTGAATTCTGCTGCCCACACCCAAAAAAAAGCAAAGCTTTTTCCCATATATCATCTTATTTAATCTTCCCCAGCAACCTTGGGAAATAGGAACCAGTGCTTCCCAGGGAGATAGTGTGAGGAATGTCAGCCTTGCTCACCTAAGGAACAATTCAAATAGAGTATATGAAAGTTTTATCATTATTTCAGCACATTTAATCTAACAGTAAATGTTTAACTATTTTGATCTTATTTTCCTTTCTTTTCCCCTCAATATTGTTGGGTGGTCTGGGAGAACTGTTTTTAATCCCTTTTTGTGAGTAGCAAATGGGAATAACATAGAAAGGTTACAAGATTTCAAAGGTCTATGTTTGACTTCTGAAATTGAAATTACTTGTATCTGACATTTCTACATCAAATATTGCAACCTGAGCTTTCAGCATCATTACCTAATTCACTTTTTTCTGTGGCAGGTTGACAAAAGTTAAGTTACGGTGCTAATTATGATGCACATTAAAATAGTGCATAATAATTTTCTTATAAATGCAAATTCAGGATGAACATTGGACGTTCAAAGGTATTTTCTCACCCCATCAGATGAATTTGTTGAGATACCAAGTGACTGTGCATTTTTAAATTTAACTCTTGAAATCCATTCGTTTGCTGAGGAAAAGGAGTAGCTTGCTTATAGATATATTTTATGGATAGTTAATTTATTAACAGGCTGCTTGAGCAGTGGTTGAAATTTTCACTTTCTTTCCACCACTATGTTTTCATTTCATTCTGTCATGTAACTTTAATTTGCTGTATTATTTGTGATGTTGCAAGATGTCCAAATTCTAGGAGGAAACTTTGACTATAAGAGAACCAAAACCATGTGTATGTAGAAACATTATGTTAGTCCTTTAAAAACTCATACTTGCTGCAGCCTGAGTTCGATCCCTGGCCAGGATGCTGACCCACATATGGCTGAGCAGACCTCTCCTGTCTCACTTGCTTCTCCCCTTAGCAGTGTATTTCAGTATATCCACCTGTTCTGTTCCCCACTCTGACTCTAGTGAATTTTCTCATCCCATCCTCCCACCTCTGGCCTACACCCTAGTTCTTCTCTGCATAAATAAGTAAATCTTAAAAACACACAACACACATACCTTTCTTTTAGAATTATAAAATTATCAGACTGGATCAGCTAGCTTTTGTATTTTGACACGGTCTTACAACAATACCTATTTGCAATTTTTTGATACAATTGCTCAGTTGATCTTTACTATCAATGGGATCACATTATAAAAAACAGTATTTTGTTAAAATGAAAAATCTTTTCTCTAGTACTTAAAATGCACATGGAAATTCTGCCCCATCGATTTAAAGTAATACAGTTTCCATGCTTGTTCAATACTTTGTCCAACTAGGCGTTTGTGAATCCATTCTCCTTGCTAGGATGTCTGGTATTTAGTTGTTCTCAAATACCATTATTTCTTGGGTTCTCTTCCAGAGGTGTGAAGACTTCTGCTCTAATACCTCCTGTCGTTCTCCAGTGCTCATGAAAAGTCATGAACCCCTCGGCGACTCTCACTGAGACTCCCCTAAACCTCCATGAGTTTCGCCACTATTAGGACTTGAAGTCTCTTTATACAATCAAATACTGTTGCTCCCGCAAAGTGAAATGATTCTTTGAGGTCACAACATGGGCTCCTTTCCCTTGCTTTCCCTCTGGCAGGAAACCTCAGGAGCAGTGTTGCTCTACAAGGATGAGGACAGTCTCTGAGTAAGTCTTCTAGGCTGTGAGACCGTCACCTTATTGATTTCTGTCCCAGGTCCTCTCACGGCCTGTCCTTAAGAACACACAGGTTCTCAGTGCATGTTTGTGGAATAAGCAGGGATCCTGGACAATGAAATGGATGCTTACAGGCAGGGCACTGGCAGTGGCTACAGCAACAGCCCCTCATCCCAAGATAGGGATTTAGCAACAACTGCTCAAGTGTGTATCCTTTCTCACACTCTCTGTGGCGAAATTCCACAGTCGTATGTAGCCTGTCGTGTTAGTGTATTGTTAATAAGCATGGCCGATCAGACTTTTACCAGCTAGTTGAGATCCAGTTCCAAATAAAATGTGTTTCTTTCCCTTTTTTTCCTTCTGTTTTTCTTCCATGTCCACTGTGCTTTAAAAAAAAATCATAAGAAAGATGCACCAGTTCATTAAAGGGTAATTGTCTTTAAAATAGGTCCAGTAAAACATGAAAATTATCTTTCTTTCAGAGTATACATGTTTTCATATATGCCATGTACTAGTTTAAATATTATGAAGGAGACTCTGCAGACCATCCTCAGGAGTGACAGGCTACAGATGTTGAGGTTTCAGTGTGTCTACTGGTTTACTGTATCCCTCGCATAAACATAAGCTTTTGAATCGTGTTTGTTTTCCCAAGCTCTGATTTCCCCTTTTTATAGATTAACTTCTGACATCTCCACTGAAATCCAGACTCAGTCTTAGGCACTTTCTTCCCCACCATGTCCAATCAGTTACCCAATTGGGTTGATTCTACCTCCCCCAAATACTTCAAACCTAATCCTTCTCTCTGCCACTATTTTTCTTGCCCTCTCTGACCTCTCACCTTTTTGGTTCTAGGTTATAATGGCTTCATAATATCTTCCTGAGAATTCTGCTGTTTTCTAGCCTCTGTCCATGTCAAACAACAGTCCCTAGAGCCATCATTATTTTTCTGGAAGAGAACCACTGAGGGCCTGTCAGTCACTGAGGGTTTTGAACAACAATTCCCATTTCCCCTCTGCTAAGTTACCCAATAGGCAGGTGACTTTTTTTTTTTACAGTTGGAAAAACTTAAATTCAGTATTGATCTGGCTTTGAAAACCTCCGCCAGCTCATGATGACCATTCAGGATCATCGTTTCATCTACAAAAATCCTTAACCTCATTTCCAAGGCAGGAGCCTTTTCTCACCAGCCTGGTCTCCAGTCCTCATGCCTTTTTTGACCTAACATTGTCCTTTCTTGTTGGGGCTTGCCATTATGGCAAAACACTAGGGGTGGAGAACCTTGGTGGCAGAGAGAGACTTTTCAGGCTGCTTCAGATTGTACCATAGACAGGAGTAAAGAAAACACACACACACACACACACACACACACACCCTCTCTCCTGAAAGTGATGCCTAGGAGGCCCAGGCTTTGCTGAAAATATCTTTTTTGTCATTATTGTTCAAAAAAAAAAAAACATTTGTACATTTTTTAATCACCTCCCCCAAATAGCAAATAGTATATCCTCTTGTTGATGATGAAGAAGTGTTCTTTTCATTCAGGTATCAGCCTTTATTATGAAATATAACCTAAGCACAGTGATTAAAAAAGTCATCACAGAGCCTTTTTGAATAAGACCAGTAAAGTGGTGAATAATCCTTTTTGATAGTATACATTTTGTATCTGTTCCTAGGCAGCAGGTGGCAGTGTGAGTCCACCAGAGTTCAGTAGTTAATTTAAAGCTAAAATAAGAAAAAATGAAAAGAAAAATTATTTATTTTGCTACATATTAGTCTTCTGACCTAATCAGTAAAAAAGTCATTATTCACACCACACTGGGCAATATGTATTGTAATTTTTAACAAATAATAGGAAACTGTTAATGTGTTCACAGGAAATACAGTTTTGTCTTGGGCTGCTGTGGTCATTTATCACTGCACTTTGTGAAATCACTCATTTGTTCTAATTTGAATGTAAATGACTCTAAGGTTTTACAAATAAGGTGACAGACTCACATAAATGTAATTGCAGGGTTCATCTCCCTCTTTTTATATATCACTCATTAGGTTATGAATTAAATACATCGTATTAAACCAGGGGCATGTCCAATGATGATATTGTAATGGCAAATTACTCTATGCTATTAGAGGTGTATTTTTTATTCATGGACATTAATTTGTCATTAAGCGGCATTAGTTTAGCACTTTTATGTGAAAGACGTGACCTGAAAGAGGAGACATGC